TTTTTTTACTGTTTAAAAGAGTAATGCTACAGGGACCAATTGGTCCCAAGCTGATTGGTCCCTGTAGCTATTTTGTTTTATTTGAGATGTGTAGTCGTTGTAGCTATTTTATTTTTTTTAGATATAATAACTACTAATTTTTATTTTTAAGTTTTGTGATTTTAATTTTTAAGTTTTCAAATTTCAAATTTAAATATTAAATTCTAAAAGTTAATAATATAAACCTAACCTTATAAATCTAAACCGTAACACCCAATAATATAAACCCTACCCTTAAAAATCTAAATCCTAATATTTAAATTCTAAACCCTTAGATGCACTTTAAATTCTAAAGTCTAAAAAATTTAAACTCTAACACCCTAAATGCTAGTAAACTTTAAAAAATCTAAATCCTAACATCTTAAATATTGAAATTAAAAAAATTTAAAATCGTAGCATGCTAAAAACTAATTTTTAATTTAAGTTTGAAAACTAAAAAGTAGTTCAAAAAAAATAAAGGGACTAAAAAGTTTAAATTACTAAATTAGGGATCAGTTCTTAGTTTAACCATAACAAAGGCCAAAAAAATTTAACGGAGGTGGGGCTGCCACGTACCGTTCGGTCTCCACCGGTGTAGAAGACCGTCGCCTCCTAATAATTATCCTTTTGAAAGCATCAATTATCACAAGAGGCCAACATTGGTTGAAGCCATGTTATATCTTTTATAGTCTCCCTTTCCTCCAATAAAATCATGGAGGGGGCATATTAATAAGACTCCAAAGGCTCGTTATTAAACTAACATGATTTGTTTAATGCAATCATTTAAAGGCTAGCTAGAGTTCCAAATCAAAGATGGAAGACTTTTTTGAGTAGTTGAAAAGTACTACTCTAACAATATATATTTTATAGGTTAAACAATTATTTTAAGGGGTTGATTCTATTTAAAGAAGGAAATATATGTGGAATTTGTTATTAGTAGTCAAATGTTGAAACTTGACCTCATTTATAAAAGAGTTTACTTATTACATTAATATTTTTTATTCATTATATAAGAATAGTGAAGATACAATTGTTTTCCTTTTTAAGAAAATCAAAATTATGAAAAAGTAAAAATTTGATAAGATGGGAGTTTTCATTTTGAGCTCACTCTTGAGTTTTAATCTTTTCTTTAAATTTAATTAGAGTTTGTTTATTTTATTCCTTCCATTTTAAAATAATAATTATTTTTTTTAATTTTTTAATTAAAAATTTGAGAACAATTCTTAAATTTACTTATATTATCCTTAGAAAAAAGTAAAAACATAAAGTTAGATTTTTTGTGATGGGATAATTTATTAAAATAAATAGATAATGATAAAGTTAAATTAGAGAAAAAAATATTTATCCACTTTAAAATAATAATAATAATAAATTTGAAATAAACTTAAAATTAAAAAATGACAATTATTTTGAGACGAGAAAATACATGTTAACTAATAATATTAATTTATTATTTCTTTATAAATTATATATGACTATACATTGACATGAATGTATAATCATATATAGTTTATATATAAAAATAATAAATTAGTATTATTAGTTAATAGCATGTATTCCTAGTCATGTCTAAAATTTGACTTCTAATTTATATGTACCCAAAAAAATATATTTACTTTGTAATGATTCTCAAGTGTATTTTAATAACTTTTTTAAAAAATGACTAAAATAATTATTTTGATGACAATACTATACTTACAATACTATTTATGATTATAAATTTACAATTATAACTTGTCATTAAATGAGTGTAATGTGTTGTTAAACAAATGAATACATAAAATTTCACATGGATAATAAGGCTCCGTTTGTATGACTTTGGTTAGGAGTTTTGAGTTTTCATTTTTATATATTTAGTAATTATTTTGATGACAATACTATAATTACAATACTATTTATGATTATAAATTTGCAATTATAACTTGTCATTAAATGAGTTTAATGTGTTGTTAAACAAATGAATACATATAATTTCACATACGGACACTAAGCTCCGTTTGTATGATTTTAGTTAGGAGTTTTGAGTTTTCATTTTTATATATGTAATAATAATTATTATATTTTAAAATTAAAATTATTATAAAAATTCAAATTTATTAAATTTAATATAAATTTAAATTGATTACTAAATATATAAAAAATCAAAATAAAAAAACTTAAAATTATAATTATCATAAACAGAATAAATAAACAAACCAATTACATAAAGAATTGTAAAAATCCTCTAAATACAATTTCTTACATAATTGTTTGAAAGCTAAAGTAGTACATAAAAACCTAAATTTACACTAAATTTTCAATTAAAATATTAAAATTTTGTTAGGGTTCTTCTAACACCTTTTTAACATTAATTGTTATTGAAAAAATAAACGTTAATATTTATTTAATCAATTGTTTAATTAAAATAATTTATGTAGCATTAATGATAAAATTAATATCAATTTTTGTTATTTTTATATTAATTAATATAAAAAATATATTAATTATACTCTTAACATGTACTTTAATGGCACATATTAGATAAATTATTTTTATTATACTTAATTAAAGTTTTAAAGTTATAGCAATTTTCAAATATAGTCTCAATTAGACAAAACGGCTAAGTACATTAAATTATTTGTTAAAAATGTTAAATTTAGTTGATTAAATAACAAAATAGTTCATTAACTTTTAATTTTAGCTTTGGACAACCCTAAAACTTTTAAAAAAACTTTTAAATGTTCTCTAAACTTTTTTTTGAATAAGGAAATTTTTGTGAGACTTACAATTAAAAATTAACGTTAATTATCTACATTAATTTATTAATTATCCTTGAAATAATTTCATTAAAAATTTAATTAACCATAAAATATTTCCCTTTTTTTTTTTTTTAGCCTTAACAAATTTTTAAGTGGGTCACAAATATTTGTATAGTAAATTCCTTCATGCAAAAAATAACAAAAAATTGAGGCCCA